ATGTGAATTTATTTTGAGGCTAGTATGTTAGACTGCAGTAAAGTATATTCTTAAGTATTCAAGAATACAAGATTATATACTGGTTTACTAGGCAGATAGTCTTGGTACGACTCAATAATTAATGGTCAAGTATAGTATTTTCCTTCAGAATGTTATGACTTTCGGAGATTTATTTTCCTAAGAAAGTGAAAACGTATAATGGGAGGTTTATGCAATCCTACGATTGCATATTCTGCTAGATATACAGTGTATGCTTTTACATCGGATGACAGCCCCATAGATATGTTCTATGGATGGGTTAGAGATGTTGAGTTGCGAGTCTTAGAGTCTAAGTGGGAGATTGCTAGGATAGTAGACTAAAAGTCTCGCTTTTAGCTAGATAATTTTATTATTGAGTTAATAAAATAGTATATTATCATTTTATGAGAATCTGCACTAGGGTATTCGTATGTATTTAATTGATTGTTTGTCAATTAATTAAAAACATAAGTCTAATATTCTAATAGTATTCAAAATGGTGTGCTACGGCGCACAGAAAGATGATTTCGAAAGTTCGTTTAGAATATAAAGATAAACGTTCACAATCTAAATGGAAATTGACTAACCATTGGTAAAAGATTGTAGCACAATATTTAAGTGATTGGTCTTGATCACAGTAAACAGAGAATAACGTTTGTAGTTATTGTTTTGACTTATTGTGCTAGCACACCCGGCATGTGTTGAACCGGACAAAGTGAAATAATTGTTTCATCACTGTTCAAAATGAAACTGTATTATTTCTAGTTGACAGTAAATTACTTACTCTCTTAATCCCTAGATAATTAACGTACATATTTAATTGACGATCTCTACTTTGATATCACAATGGGAAAGATTCCTATATTGAGTCAAATGGCCCATGGTGCGTTGGGTAGAGACATTAAGAATTAATAGGTGGAAATTAATTATCGAAAGGAATCCACTTCTCTGCAATATGAGATTGATAATAACCCTTGAGTAGCTTATAAGATTAGTTTATCCCAAGTCCTTTGCCAGGTGGATTTCGTATCCGACATACTCAAATAAGTTAAGAGGGTAAGACTCATGAAAAGAAACCATTTAATTTATTTAGCAGTGAATAAATTATTTGATGGTTATAAGATATCTTAATGTGGAGAGAATCTAAGTAATGATCGACCGGAGCTCGAATGTAATATTTGAGAATATAAACGGGAATTCAATAATTATTGGGTAGTGGAAAATAAATAATTATTTAATGATTAATTAAATGGATTCTTTTAAGAGTTTGGATTTAATTAATTATTAGTTGCCGGATTTATATTTTTTCCTTTAGTCCCTATTGTAGCCCAATGTATTTTCTAATTAATCGAGAAAATAAAGTTCAACCAATATTATATATTGGAATTAATATATCCGAAAATTAAGTTCCCATTGAACTGCAATTTTCGACTATATAGAGTTATAGAAGGAGTGGGATTTGTTTCCGTGTAATCCTCTCTATGTGTGACTCTAATTCCTCGTGCTATATATAATAGGAATTAGGTTGATGAGAGTTAAGTTTTTTTTTTCTACACGCCTATTCACGTCTGGAGATAAAAAAAATAAACGGTTTTAGTATGGTTCTAGTTTGAGCGATATTAAATGGCAACAATTTTGATATTACATGTTTTCGAGGGTATCCGCTCCGCTGTCATCCCTAATTTTAATGCTCTTTGAATCTTGCTGCAAATTATGGTATTGGGCAGTTTTAGTTTTATTTTATTTTTGACTAAATTCAAGTCCTTTACAAGGGAAAGTTTGGGAAGGCGGGACTCGAACCCTAGACCTTTACCCTATTGGTAAAGTTAGGTATCAACTCTCTCAATGAGAGCCACTCAAGTTTCATGGGTTATATTTGCAGTACAATTTTTTACTCCTGCAGTTCCAATATTAATGGATAAATTACGTTTTGCACCTTCAAATTGAAATAGTCGATGATTTGCATTCTAACTAATTGGCGATTTCACCCCATAATTATCAGCCGGAACAACGAACGAAAACGCTTTTGCACACCATAGTGGCGATTCAGTCCGAACGGCGTTTTATCAATCATAACGGCCAAAACAATATGCGATACTTTTTATTTGCTGACAGACAGAGAATGGAATGGACACGTTGTTATGGATATATTCATCATATATCCCATGAAGAATGGATACATAGCTCTAAGGGATACAACTGCCCACTTTTGTAATACATTCTATATGGGTCCTCTTGTAACTGCTTTGCACAACTCACAACCAGAGGGTTGCAGTCAACTAGTTCAATCTTTTCAAGACATTGCCCGAATTTCGTAGGCATTACTTGTAATTTGTAGCATTGTTTTAAGCCAATCCACTTGAGCGCGTTGAAGCAATCGCATTCTTCGACTAATGTCCAACGCAGCAAACCCATGTCTTCGATCAGAAGAATTTCAAGGCTCGGGAATTCGTCCACGCCAACTTCCCATTTCGGGCCCCGAAAGGCGTAGCATTGTAATTTGAGCACTCTAAGATTCGGCAATGAAGAAATCTTGTTCATTTCTTCCCACGGATATCCTAAGCCACTCAAAGTTATTAACTTAACTAGATTGGATGGGAAGATTGAAAGACGAACCGGTGGGGCAACTCCGGACTAGATTCTAGGATTCACGACGACACATTTAAGTACTTGTAGTTCATTGAGACATGAAATTTCATCGAAGCAATACAATGGTGGCTCAACATGATCCGGAGGTAATTCGATTCGAATTCCCAAGTATTTTAGATGAGGGATTCTTTCGAGAAATCTCTTGGTACAACTATGAGGGCTCATATCTAATAGTGTTAAGAGGTTTGGTATGGGATTAAATCCTAAGAAGAACTAAGTTACCTTATACGGAAACCTAACTTGGCGACACGAGATCCCAAGGACCAAGTTCAATAGGACAACCAGTTCTGTGTAACTTAAATAATAGTAGCACTTAGGAGTTTAACTCCATGTTATTCCTATGATGCAATAAGTGCGACCTACGACGTTTAAAAAAGGTTAAGCTATTGCTTTTAATGACGTCTATATCTTGTCAAGTACAAGTGGGGTATAGTAGGATACTCTTTGTAGATGTTGACAGCTATTTTAGTGTGAGTTGGGTCGGCTCGTTGAGAATTCTTAAATGCTAGAATTCTCTAAAGCACTCGCAGAACCCGAGGATGTTCAGAACCGAAACGAACACAATCGAGAAGTTGAACAAGTTTGTTTAGTATATTGTTAAGTTTATTATCTTGGTTTACGCAAACAGCCGACGGTTCAAGATAAAATAATTCACCGATTGGCTAAGTGAATCCGATAAGCTTTAACTAGAGAGAAGGTTCAAGATGAAATATTTCACCTATCCCGATGTTGTACTATTCACTAAGGAATTTTGAAAAATAGATCTTATGCGATAAGATTGGAAGAACAATTTTATTAATGTGGGGATTGTTGAAAATTTCATGATTTCCAATAATTAATATTGAGTAATATTAATTAAATTATGCTAAGATTAATTTCATTTATTTTCATGAAGTAAAGTGAATGAAAATTGTCTTGATTGAATGGTTAAAGTTCAAAATATGAGTGGACGATCACATCGAGCGATATGACTAGTTTGGATTTAGGTGTCAACAAATATTAAATATTTTGGGGACATTTAGTAGTTAGTCAAATTATTTGACCCAAAATCCAAATAATAAATTATTTGGCCCAAACCAAATATTTAATTATTTGGCCATGACCAATTAATTTTCTACGTTTTGAAATCGGTGAAAAGAACAGACACCACTTTCTGCTTCCTCCCAACTATTGCAACCCTCTATGAATGGATCTCTACCGCCTATAAATAAAGGCAGAATCTGGTCAATTCTGTACGGATTTTAATCAACAATTACGAGATAGTTCTTCATATTCTTATTTTCTTTCGTCAAAGTTTCGTTCGTTGTTCAAGTTCGCCGTGGGTCGAATATTCGTGCAAATATTTGACAACCGATCGTTGTACCTTGGGAGACTACCGGAAAGAAGTTGTGCACCGTTGACAGCCCGGAAATATTTTCTTAAAGGAATTGCTTTGGCAACCCTCGATCGTTCTTTGTGTTTACACAATTCCTCTTTTCGACAAACAGACAAGTATTTTTGTTCGTTTACGCAGATTGTTATATAATTATATCAACATCCAGCATGCGCCAATTTCTCTACCCGCGCCGTCATTCGTCCAATCTACCAAAAAACCCTAGATTTGCTCTCTATCGTCACCACACCGCCGCCACATCAAACCATCACCACCCCACTTCGATATTATGACGATTTTTTTATTACAAATAAAGTAAATCACAACCCGCACCACCAACCAAAGCAGAACCACCACCCATCAAAATCCGATTTCGGCAACAAATCGACAATTTTACCTCTTTTCGCCTCCGATGTAGGAATCCTAGTAATCGAATTTTGAATTTCTATCAAAATCATCATCATCTTAAGGGCTTCTGTTCAGATTTGCAAAGGTCATAATTCGCGAAGGGGTAGAGAGCGGGAGGAGTAGGAGCAGACATCTCATAGGGGAATTGAAAGTCGGAGAAGATGGATTAACTCCGACGGCGACGACGACGACGTATTCAATGGGATTGGCGCCGTTGTTCTGGCGGTAATGGCGGTGGTTGGTTCTTCATCTTCCGATCAAGAGAGAATAAACTAGAGAATTGGGTGGGAAAAGTAGAATAGAAAAAATTAATAGAGAAGAGACGGGAGAAGAACATAGAGAATAAGATTATGGTTGTAAAAGGGTATAGTAGACAATTTAAGTATAATTTTGAAATTATAAAAATATCATTTAGGTGGAATATTAACTAATGAAGTTTTCTCTAATTATATTTGTGAGAATATTTTTCCTTAATTCCTAGATGGGGTTTCTTGCTAATTCTAGTTTTCCCCTAAAACTAATGTAGCTACTACTTTATAGTGAACCACAAGTTCACTAAAATAAAAATATATTTTATAAAATAAACGAATATTTCAATATAATACACGGTGTAATATTGTACAACATTTACAAGAATTTGAGTTCCAAATACACAAGATAAACACAAATGATAAATTAGGACGATAATTCAACGAACACAATAAGAATAATCCAACGGCTATGAATCAATTATTCTGCATTCGCATATAATCACCATAAAATCGAGGGCCCGATTCTTCTTCATGAGCATTGTATGCATAACCACCATGGCTAGATATATCAAGACCCGCAACTTCATCATCCATAGATATCCTCAATATCCCAAGCCAATGTAGCAAATAAAACAATGGCCCCATTGTAAGGCTAACCCATCCCACAATTGCCAATAATTCAACCACTTGTGCTCCAATAAGGCCCCACCCTCCTCCCATCAAAAGCCCGGAAGACCGGCTCGCTCCGATCAAGCCCGAATCATACGCTTGGATAATGAACTCCTCCTTAGCGAAAAGCCCGGTGAAAATCAATCCCCAAGCCCCGCACCCGCCATGCAATTGGGCCGCTTCCAACGGATCGTCGATTTTCAGCTTCAGGGCCAAGATATTGAGCCCGATCAAAACCCAGGCGGCGAAGAATCCGCACACTATCGCCGCCCAAGGCTCCACCACCGAGCAGCCCGAAGTGATCGCAACGAACCCACCGAGAAGCCCGTTGCAAACATCGAGGGCGTCCCAATGGCCGACGAGCAACCGTCGGCCGAACAGTGTCACGATGCCTGCAGTCGAGCCGGCCAGTGTCGTGGTGACAGCTGTCCGGCCCACGGCGGTCCAGTTCCCCTGGTTCACAGTGTTCGGGTACGCCACAAGAATCTTCCCGAAAGAACCGGGGTTGAACCCGAACCACCCAAACCACAACAAGAAAGTTCCTAAAACCACCAAAGTAGCATTATGCCCACGCATCACCATGGGCTTGCCAAACGCGTCGAACCGGCCCACTCGCGGGCCCTCTATTAGTGCGCCCCAAAGCCCGGCGACACCACCCACCAAATGAACCACCCCACTACCCGCGAAATCGATAGCCCCCGAGCCGAACAGCAACGAGCTCGAGCTCGAGCTCAGCCACCCACTGGACGACCAGACCCAGTGGGCCACCACGGGATAAACGAACCCAGATAGAAAAAATGAGAAAATTAAATAGGCACTAAACTGGGTCCTCTCAGCAATGGAGCCACTAGTAATGCCCGCCACAGCTATAGCGAAAGCCCATTGGTATAGAAAGAAGCTGTAGTCGTAGGAGCTCGAAGGGATACTGTGCAGGGCGAAATAACTCGTACCGATAAACGGGTTCTCGCTCGGGCCTTCGCCGAAGGCGAAAGCGAACCCGAACAAGTAATAAGATAAGCTACCGACAACGGCATCGACCACGTTGGTGAGCATAATGTTCATGGCGTTCTTGGCCCGAACCGAGCCCGCGCACAGCATGGCGAACCCGAGTTGCATGACGAAAACTAGGTAGGCTGAAAACAGAAGGTAAATTGCGTTGATGGATTCCGTGACGCTGGATTCCCATGAGGGTTCCATAGTTTTTGGGAGGAATCTTGAATGGTTGGTGCTAAAAGAGGTTGGGGTACGTATAAGAATATAATGAAATGTGAGCTAACTACTAAGTATTATTATTAATGTGAGATGTGAAATGTAGCCCAAGTTGGAACATGGGGATGGTCCCACTTGTTGTTGACAGTGGAAGTGTTATGAATCAGTTATTTCATATTGTGCTATTGTGTGTGTATGGATAAGTCGATAATTGGAATAATTTGAAGCCAAGAAAATTCCATTGAAAAAAAATGATATGAAAATCCCTTTTATTAGTTATAAATCCCGGAAGATTTGCTGATATTTCATAGCGAATAATATTTCATTGTTTTAGATTTTTTAGTAGGTGGAGCGATGGCAGCAAGGGTTTGGATGACAACAAGGGTGATTAGGTTGGGTGATGTTCGGGTAATTCTACTGTTGTTAGTAGTTTTGTTATAATATAATTGTTAAAACGATTTGTTTTTATACTTGCAAAGCACATTGTCTTTTTTTTTTTTTAGTACCGATGATGTTAACAACGGAAGTTTTGCAGTCAATTACATTAATTTTCATAGTGGATTACATTAATTTTATATTGAATTACAATAATTTCATAGCGGATTTCAATTTGACAATCTGGTAAAAGAAAATTAAAAATAATAATAATAATAATAATAATAATAATAATAATAATAATAATAATAATAATAATAATAATAATAATAATAATAATAATAATAATAATAATAATAATAATAATAATAATAATAATAATAATAATAATAATAATAATACTAATAATAATACTAATAATAATAATAATAATAATAATAATAATAATAATAATAATAATAATAATAATAAGGGTAAATTACACCCACATCCCTGAGGTATGCTTAAATAACTTTAAGGTCCCTATGGTATCGATAATTACACTCAACCCCCTGAAACATAGTTAGAAACTCTTACAGGTTAATGCATTGGATACATTATTCCGATAGGGTTCTAGTAGACTATTACTTTTAGCTAGTGGTGTAGATAACATAGAGTTATAGGGATTTATGGGGTGACATGGTTCCCCCAATATTTCTTAAATTACCCATAACTCTTTGTTGTCTCCATCAGTTCCTGAAACCAATAGTTCGTTAGAATCCTATCGTAATAACGTATCTAATGCATTATCCCATTAGAGTTTATAACTACATTTCAAGGGGGTGAGTGCAATTATCGATGCCACAGGGACCTTAAAGTTATTTAAGCATACCTCAACAACAACAACAACAACAACAACAACAACAACAACAACAACAACAACAACAACAACAACAAC